AAGCTCAGATCCCGGTTCTGAGGAAAGCTCCGAGCCCGGTCCAGAGGGTGGCTCCAATCCCAATCCTGAGGGAAGCTCTGATCCCAGTTCCGAGGGAAGCTCTGAGCCCGATCGCGGTTCTGAGGAAAGTTCCAAGCCCGGTTTGAAGGGAAGCTCAGATCCCGATCCCAAGGGAATCTCTGAGCCCAGTTCCAAGAGAAGCTCAGATCCCGATCCCAAGGGAATCTCTGAGCCCAGTTCCGAGAGAAGCTCAGATCCCGATCCCAAGGGAAACTCTGATCCTGATCCCAAGGGAAGCTCCATTCCCGATCCCAAGGGAAGCTCAGATTCCGCTCCTGAGGGAAGCTCCGATCCCGATCCCAAGGGAAGATCCATTCCCGCTCCTGAGGGAAGCTCTGATTTTGATCCCAAGGGAAGCTCCGAGCCCAGTTCCAAGGGAAGCTCAGATCCCGAGTCCAAGGGAAGCTCTGACCCTGATCCCAAGGGAAGCTCTGATCCCGATCCCAAGGGAAGCGCCGCTGGAATGCACAGGGTGCACAGCAGGATCACCACGATGGGGCTCTGCTCCATCTTCCAGGTGTTTTTGTGTCTGGGTTCAGCACTCCGAACGGCCTGGAATCATTCCATGAATCTTCCAGGTTCTTCGGGATGTCCCTGACATCCCACCAGATCTAATCCTTCCACCTGGGAAAATCCTCCTGGATGTGGAGCTGGAGGCACAACTAAAAAAAGACACAGCAAGGCATTACTGGATCCAGCAGGGCGGGAATTCCAGGAATTCCATCGGGAATGTTCTTTGAACGGGACAGGAGGATATTCTGATCCATTGGATCCAATCCAACTCTGCCCAAACTCCATCAATTTCGGGTGTGTTCAGCAATTCCAGAGTGAAATTCTCTCCTCCCTGTAAGACTTCCCACATTATTTTGATGGATTTTAATTTGGATGGATTTCCACTGGAAAAGGAGTGGCTCCCTTTTCATTTTCTCACCAAACTCCGAATTTCCAGCAGGAATTACTGCTGGAATCTCCCAAACAATGCTGCGGAGTGCGAGGAAATCCCAAATTCCTCATCGAGGCCCTGTCCAACCCTCACTTATACAAACACATTCCAACTCCGGAGCACTCCCCAAATCCAACCCAAACATTCCAACCTCTACTGGGGCTGATCCATGGGACTCCAGGCTGGTCTGAGCTGGTTTGGCTCCGGTCACTCCGTGTCCACACCAGGCCCTGGAGCTGTTCCCATGGGAGCAGCTCTGATGTCACAGCCGGGGCACAACAGCCCCAAACATTCCAAGGAAGAACCCTCAGGGAAGGTCCAGCAAATCCTGAGGGCTCTGGAGGAGGCTCTGGATAAAATTCCCAGCCTTGGAAGGAACCACGGGAGTTGGGAGAGCTCTCATTCCTCAGGGATCCCACCCCAAACCTCCACTGACGGATCCGCAGGAATCGTTCCCACGCTGCCATCCCAGGAAAACGCTTGGAAGGAGATTCCGGTGGGATCCATGCGGTGCTCGCGCATCCCCCAAAAAAATGATGCACTGCTGAAGCGTTCTTCCCTGGAAAATCCAGGTTTTCTGAGGGACTAACACCCCACAGCTCTGTGGAATCACGTTCTCCGTAGTTTTTAACCACAATTTTACAGAAAAGACATGCCATAATCAGAGTCTCCTGATGGGCATCCCTGGATTCCCACAGGGATTTGGGTTTGCCAAAACCCGGCAACCCCAAATTCGGATCCATTTCCCTTCCTCACACTCCTTAAACTGAACTGAAGAATTCCCACAACTCCAGGAGGATTTTCCAGCCCCAATCCCCCCTGGAGCTGCCCTCCCCCATCCCAGCTCCGTGTCCAGCTCCCCTTTTCCAGCCCGGCTCCGAGGGCGCTCAGGGATCTGGGAATTCCAGACTGCTGCGGGTTGGGCAGGGAAACAAACCTCAAATCCCACAAATCCCACCCATCCCACCATCCCAGGATGCTCCAAACCATCCAGCCTGGCCTGGGGCAGCCACGGATTCTCCGGGAATTTCATTCTCTGAGCACTCAGGGCTTGGTTTTACTCCAGGTTTACTCCTCTCCCTTCATAAAACCAACAAAAAAATACCCTATAAACCCCAAAAACGGCGTGTTTGAAAGATTCCCGAATTCCAGCACGACAGAAACCCCCAACTTTTCCATGGAAAAGCCAAGATTTACCCATGGATTTTAGGAAATGGAAGGTACCTCTTTATTTACAAACACAGAACCACCACCGCTGCAGGAACTGATTGGATATTGTACAAAACCAGGGAATAAAATAAGGATGGGAAAAAAATAGGGAAATAAAATAAAGATGGGAACAAGGCAAGAAATAATATAAGGATGGGAACAAACCGGGAAAGAAAATAAGGATGGGAATAAAGCAGGAAATAAAATAAAATAAGGATGGGAATAACCAGAAAATAAAATAAAATTAGGTTGGGAATAAAGCAGGAAAGAAAATAAGGATGGGAATAAAGGAAAGAAAATAAGGATAAGAGCAAAGCAGGAAATAAAATAAAATAAGGATGGGAAAAACCAGGAAATAAAATAAAATAAGGATGGGAATAAAGAAGGAAATACAATAAAGAAGGGAACAAAGTGAGAAATAAAACAGAGATGGGAATAAGGCAGGAAATAAAATAAGCATGAAAACAAACTGGGAAATAAAATAAAGATGGAAATAATCAGGAAATAAAATACAGATGGGAACAGACCAGGAAATAAGGATGGGAATAAAGCAGGAAATAAAATAAAGATGGGAAATAACAAAGGCATTTACACTGTACAGAGGGAAAGCTGAGTTTGGGGGGATTCGATGCTTTAAGCCAACTTGCAGAACCTTGGCCTGGGCATTTTTAATTTGGGGGGTCAGGCCCAGCACCCAGGGTGGGTTTAGCACGGCAGAGCCACCCCACAGGCAAAAGGAAGAAAAAAAAAAAAAGGAATTTTACACTCGTGGTCATAAATTTCCCCAAATGAACCCAAATGTCCCCAAAGCTGGGAATGAAAACATCAAGTTTGGGAAAATTTCAAAAGCTCTGATTTCCAAATGTTTTGTCTCTCCTCACTTTTATACCTGCACAGTTCTGGCTGCAAATCCGTCACTTCCCAATTCCCTTCCTGCTTTTGATTCCTGCAGGACACCCAGGAAATTTAAACAGCTCCTGATAATCCCAATAATTCCACCTGGGGAACACTGAAACTCCAAAGTCTGGGGGAAAAAAAGGGATTTAGGGATGAAATTTCCTTTGCTCAGGATGCTGGTGTGGGATAAGAAGTGCCAGGCTGTGAGTGCTTGATGGGGATAGTGTCATTCCCATTCCCACAGGAAATTCTGAAGGAATAAAAGTTGGGAATGAGCTGCCAGCTTCCATTTTTAACCCACAAATGGGAAAAACAGAAATCCTTGGAAAAGTTCTGCTTCGATTCTGAGGAAAAAATTGGTTTTTGTTTATCGAGGAGGAGCTTGGATATTCCCGGAGGAGAATTTCCCAGGGAAGAGAAGGAACAAAACTGGAAAGGACAGGAGGGAATTCCAGCAGAGCTTTGGGAATCAGAGGCTGGGAAAAAAAAATCCATTGGAAAATGACTTTTTTTTATCTAAAGCTGCTCCTTCTGCCACTGGCAGAGCGGGAAAAATAAACATAAAACCGAGGAAAACTCCAGAGGGGCCTCAGCTCCTCAGATCCCACTGGAAATTCCTGAAAATTTGGGCTGGGATCAGCAGCTCTGCCCTGATCCTGTCAGGCAGGGAAAAGCCGGGATCAGCGAGATGGGAATTCCCAGCTGGAAAAGGAAGATTTGGCAGGAGACAGGAATCCAAACTCACACTTTGGGCTGCTCTTCCATCCGGGAATGCTGAGAGATTTTGGGAGAGAAGAGGTGGAGAAGCTCTGGAGTGGCAGGGAAGGGGCTCAGGTCACTTTGGGACAGGGATTTGTCCCCAAAATTCCCGGCTGGAGCTCAGTGCCAGCCTGATCCGTGGAGAGGCAGCAGGAGGGACGGAGGCTGCTCCCTCTTCCAGAGTCATTCCTGCCCCAAATCCCTCCCTGAATCCACGGAATTAATTCAGTCTGTGCCAGTCCTGCCTGGGAATTCCGGCCTTTCCACACGGGCAGCCAAGAGAGGAAAGGAGACAGGGAGAGAAGGGAGAGTCTTCATAGCAACTCTGAGATTGCACCACCTGCTGAAGAGAGCAGAGAGGGAAAAGTGAGATTCCAGCCCCATCCCGGGGCTCCCCGCATCCAGAGAGCCCCAGCGGGAAAATGGGAAACACGGGAAGTGCAGGGGGCAATGGGAAATGGGGGGAAATGGGAAACGCAGGGGGAAAAATGGGATATCTGGGCAGAAAAAAATGGAAATGCGAGGGGGAAAATGGGAAATCTGGGGGGAAATGGGAAATGAAGGGGAAAAAATGGGGTATCTGGAAAAAAAAGGGAAATGCAGGTCAAAAAAATGGGATATCGGGGAAAAAAGGGAAATGAAGGGGGGAAATGGGAAATCTGGGAAAAATCTGAAATTCAGGGGGAAAATGGGAGATGCAGGGGAAAAATGGGAGACGCAAGGAAAGAAATGGGAAATCTGGGGAAAAAATGGGAAATCTGGGGAAAAATGGGAAATATGGGGGGAAAAATGGGAAATGCAGGGGGAAATGGGAAATGGAGGGGAAAAATGGGATGT